TTGTATTATATTATATTATTATATTATATTATATTATATTATATTATATTATATTATATTATATTATATATTTTAATTTTTTAAAATTTATTTATTGTATTTATACCCCGCCTATCTAGTCATTTCAACCACTCTAGGTGGCTATTACAATTGTGAAAACTAAGATGGACGACCTTGAAACTGAGGCTTCCACAGAATGCTTTGTTTTTAAAATATAAAAGAAAACAGCAGCAAAATAAGCCCTATATATATTTTTGCTGCTGTTTTTTTTTAATGACAAAGCGTTCTGTGGAAGCCTCAAGATGATGCAGTTTTCTTCAAGATCTGCAGTCCAGCCTGGTGGTTTTTTGTTATGGCTTCCCTGTTTCAAGGCCATCTGGCCACTACTGAGCTAAATGTGGAGGATCGGACCCAAGGAAAGGACTTAGCCTGTAAGGGGGGGTCCTTGTTCGTCTTTGAAGGTTATAATTTAGAAAGGCGATCCTAAAGACCGGGAATCGGTTGATCCTCGGCCCTTTTTACCAGCTCGTCACTCCACCCCGGAGGGTCTTGCTTCTTGAAAACAAACCTTTTCGTCCTTTTCTCCCCCACAGATGGCATCAGCGTGACAGGACTGGCGGGGGACGGATCCGGGCAGCTCCGAAGGTCCCCGGAAGGCGAGCGTTCCAGCGGGGTCAACTGATGTGCGGAGGAGCGAGGAGAAAACCAAAAAGGAAAGGAAGAAAAAGGGATGGATGGGGGGGGCATCGGAGACCCCCGCCCAAAATGGGCTGTCCATGAGCCAAGCGGGTTTTTCCCTGTTACTCTTTCCTGCAGACTTGAATACTAATAGTTTCGCTCCCACCTTGACCACAAGGCGTATTTTGCACAAAACTTCCTTCTTGTTTCCTGATGGAAACTGGTCTCTTGGCCCTTCCTTCCTTCCATCATCAGCTCCTACCTTCCTTCCTTCCATCATCCCTTCCTTCCACCCCCTCTAACACCCAAGTTCGTAGACTTCATTGCCCCCTCCTTTCTTAACCCCATGACCATGGACGGATCAGGGCCTCTTTTTTCTCTACAGGCCATGTAAAAAATTATAAATGAAAGTGTTTGTTTTTTTATTTATTAAAGAAAAATTAAACCCTTGTAAGAAAAGAGGAATCTGGTTTTATTTTCTTCTGTGTGATGGTGGGATCCCTTTTCCCCAGCATCTTGAAAGCTATTCTCTGTGAAAGAAAGGTTGTTCCTGAAATGACTGATCTTAAAGTTTAAAACTATATAAAATCAATCAGAAATATTTTCACTTGGTTGGGGGAGAAGTAATGGATTGGGTCCTTCCAGATCACCTGAAAGTGTGTCGGCATACAAGATTTTGAGTGTTTCTACGTATTACAAGCTGTGTATTCCCAACCTGCATCAAAAGCAGAAGCAAATAACTCAGAAGAATTAAGGAGCAAAATGTTGCGTGCATGAGTGCACAACTTGTTCACGCCATGTCTTTATAAGCCCGTGTCCCTCACTGTTTGTTACTTGTGAATGTATCGCCCACACCCTGTTCCTCATTTGGAACCCAAGAGCGATGGCGCATCATCCCGGTGGAGCAGGAACAAGGTGAGTTGTGCACACCAGCACACAACCGTTCCATACGAGTTGAATTTCCAATTCCCTGGCTCGTCGTGACACATGATTCCAGAGTTTGTCAGGCCTCGCCTCGCGTCTACAATAAACAAATCCTCCCACGTCGTGTGTGTGTGAGAGGGGGAGCGAATTGGTTGTGCACCCCGGCACACTGCTCCTTCTCCATAGGGTTTCAAGGCCCCAAATTCTGGGCTTTGTGGGTTACGTGAACCGGCGGTGATGGTTCTTCTGGTGAACCAATACGGCCCCCTTCTTAGAAAATCAGTTTCTCACCCATCGGAAATTATGCCGATCGGGATTCAGGCGAGTCTGCAAACATGCAACAGAGCAAGATGGCCGGACTAATAAGAGTTGATTCCTTTCTGAAATATAGAATATATTTATTGAACGTAATTTCCCCATTCCTTATCCAGCTGGTTGCCAGCCTCTCTTTCTGGCTGACGTAAACGGGTCGCGTGATGCTCGGCTCATCTCTCACTTCCTCCTACTCAGGTAGACCGTTTTATGTATAACTGTCATTTCCCCCCTCCCTTTTCTGGGACATTTCGAGGAAGGTTGATCTGGGCGTGATCCAGGTCGAGAATTTACCACCTGCTGGTTGACGGGAAGCCAGAAACTATTTGAAGTGCAGCCGCTTCGCCAAGATCAACAAAACTGGATTGTGAGGTTTAGCACAAAGAAGATATTTGTTCACGCGTGTGTGCAAACCTATTTTTCACACACACCCAGGTCTTCTTACACCTTTAGAAGAGTGTTTAGGATCAGAGCGAACTCTCCAGCATATCAAGAAAACTCAAATCAAGGCTACCCTGATTATTATTTTCATTCAAAGATACAAGACGTGGGTCTTTGGCAGGTATTAAATAACAGATAACTGTAGGGCCTCCTGTAACCGTGGGATCCGTATCCACGGATTCACTTACCTGCCCTATGAAAATATATATATATTTTAAAAAGCCTAGAAATATAGATTTCTAAAGAAGTTAGCAGAAGTGGCCACTTGAGGGAGCCAGAGGGCAAACTATTAAAACAGTGTTTGCTATCATCCGCGGTTTTCAATATCTGCAGGGTGAGTCCTGGAACCCCCCACATATATAGAGGTTGTACTGTAAGCCATTCTAACCAAAAACCAAAGTATCAGTTATATATCAGCGTCCTATGTATGCTGTTCCTAATATTGTCTCTCTTTTTTTTTGCAGCTCTGCTGGTGTTTAGCTGATCATATAAAATACAGTGGCATTGTTTTTGCAGCTGATCATATAAAATACAGTGGCATTGTTCCAACGCTCCTGTTTCTTATTTTTATTATTATGTCATTTACTGGAATTTGCACCCATTTTCGCCTTTTCAAAAAACCTCTTTAGGAAATCTTTACCAAGTCTTTTAGACATCTTGAGAAAATCCGCTTCTCTCCTGGAGCTTCTCTATTGAAGCTTTCCCTGTTTGTTTGGGTTCAAGGCTTCCATCCAGGAGACCCTCCCGGGGGCTCAGCTTCCAACAAAATGTGGCTAAAAATAAACCATGATTTTTCAGAAGAGAGAGTCAAGAGCAAGGTCAAGGATCCTGAGCTGTACAGATGATTGCAGAAATTTATGACATAGTAAATTAGCTCGTGGAGTCACATGACTGTGCCTACTTTCCTGCTGCGCATTGAACTCTGTACATGACTAAGAGCCACAACTGAGAATCATGTGGCGGGGTGTGTTATGTCAATAAAAGCTTTTTTTAATGTGCGTGCGTCAAGATTCCTGTCTTTACCAACACCAAATCGGAGGGTGGGGGGGAATAACATATTTCTGTAATAAGCATTGAAACCCATTTTAAAAAATGTGTTTTTTACAGTGTTGATTTGGCCTGGGCTGATTTGCTGCAAGGCATACAAGGGAACGTTCACGGTGTGCACACCGGAGATCTTCCTTGTGCCGGGGCAGTCTATCTGAGAAGATGAAACAGATGCATTGGGGCAGCTGCCTTCAAAAGCCATGGGTGCAAATCTGCACCTCCAGCCTAGCCAGCTCAGAAAGGTTGGTCTGAAAAGAAGATCACAGCCCTTGGTGTCTAAAGGGGATGATGGGAGCTGAGTGGCCTGTTTTTTGGGGGGCAGGGCCTACTTGCTGTGGATGATAGGCATTGTACAGGTCCCCTGATCTCCTTTGCAATCGGACTTTGATCGAAGAGTCCTCTTATAATAATCCTAGCATTGCAAAGCTGGGAAGGACCCCTAAAGATCATCCAGTCCAGCCCTGTTAAGGCGGCCTTGTGGGGGATTCGAACTCCCCACCTCTGGCTCTGCCACCACAGACCCATGCCACTGAACTAACCAGCAGTTTTATATCATTTTAAGGTCATTTCAGACCCAGCTTTCTCTGGATTTTGTGTCATCTTCTGCGGAAAGGCTGCTTCGCTGGCACAACCGGAGAATGGGCAGCCTCTTCTTCTGTAGGAGGTTTAATCCAGTTTTTAAAAATAAAAATGTGGTAGGTTTCTATGGAGTTCTGCTCTAAACGGATCTGTGTTGGCTGGATACAGCTTCACCTGCGATGATTTGAGGCAGGGAGGAAAAATATAAACCCCGCTTAAAAGTGCCAAGAATTGTGAGACCAGAATGCTCGGTGTTGAAGTTTAATTAATTGCATTAATTTTTTTTTTAAAAAAAAGAATAAAGTGTCTCTACAAGTGGTCCCGAATCAAGTCAAGCCTTTCTCTGGAGGCAAAACCCAGTCTTTCCTTTGGGCATATCCTGAAAAGGAAGGATTTCCTGGGAAAGATCGTAATGCTGAAAGATGGAAAGCAGTAGGGAAAGAGGAAGACCCCCCATGTGAGATGGACTGACTCCCGCAAGCAAATCACGACTTTTGAGTTTGCAAGAGCTGCACAGGGCTAATTCCGCAGGGTTTCCATCCGGAGGTAGCCAAATAAACCTCCTGTTCAGGCCTGGTTTAAAGAACAAACCTGTCTTGATCCAGCCTAGCTGACTGTTGGAGGTTATCCCACAACGGCTTGGTGCCTCTGTTTTTCCTCTACCCTCCTCTTCCCAATTTCCTTTCCTGTTGTGCCTTTTTAGTTTGCAACCCTGTGGCAAGAGGCGATTCCCCCTTGAGCTTGTTTTGCTGCTGTTTAAAGACAAACAAAACACCCTCTTTTTAATTACTTTAGACCCTTTGCAGGCGTTTCTTTCTTGGATCCCTAAGCCCATCTTCCACCAACGGCCCGTGGGTGATGGTGATGGTTGCGTTTAAGTGGGATCGTGCCCCCCCCTTGTTTCAAAACTCTGAGCAGGCCCTACGAGAGGCTCATAGACAGCCCGCCGAGAGGGCCCTATTCTTGCGAGATGGAGAGGTAACCGCTCAGCTCGCACATACGCCCTTCGGTGCCACAGATCACTGATGCTCTGAGTGCGAATCCCTGGAATGAAACAAAAGCCGCCCGTTCGGCCAAAATACCGGAGCAGTGAAGAGGAACCCATTAAACTGTGTTTGGTGGTCTATTCTGTTGAGGGAGATGGTGGAAAACCCAGGATTTGAAGCTCACGAGGTATTCTCCCCTCGTGTGTTTGTGTAAGCGTGTGAGGCCGGGTGCCACGCTGCGCACGGCACAGCCAACGCTACAAAAAAGCGTGTGGGTTTTTCTCTCTTTCTTTTCAGAACCAATTTGGAAAGGCGAGCCAAGCCGCCGGTGGTCTCCGTAGAAACAAGACGGGCGAAGAGGATCCGGATTCTGCAGCAACTTGGCCCACGGGCAACGGGAAGGCTTCTGTTGGCCAAGCCGGCCAAGATCCCTCGAAAACGGTCCTCCTGGGACTTCCTGGTCTCACCTGCGGCAGGTGAAATCCTGGCCGGGTTGAGCTTTGGACTTTTCCCAACCCCAGGGGCGTGGACCAACCTGGTGTGAGCAGGAAGAGCCGAGCCAGAAGGAAGAGAGGCGGAGAAGGAGAGAGACCGGCTGGTCGTTGGAAGAGATGGACCAAGAGAAATCCCCCGGAGATGCCACCTCGGCCAGATCTCCTGACCTGTAAGTGCCCCCTGTCTTGATGCTCTTCCATTTTGGACCTCAAATTGAGGTGGTTTTGGGCTCTCTCTTACGCCAGGGGGCCTTAAAAAAAATCTGGTTTTCTGCAGACCAGGCTCAAGCCATGATTTATGCTCCAAAATAGCAATCAAGTCAATTTTGATTTAGGGTGTCTTTTCCAGGGTTTTCTAGGTAGACAGTCTCCAGACATGGTTCCCCCCTTCCCTTCTTCTGGGACTCTGCCGCCGGGCCAAGGCTACCCAGGCTGGCCCTTTTCTTGGGGGACCTGGTGAGGATTTGAACTCACAGCCTGGGACTTCAAGCCGTGAGCAGCTCCCCAAGAAAAGGACAGCAGCAAACTCAAAGGAGATCCTTTATCACGGCCTCTGGGTTCTCCGCTTTGGAGGCCAGGGTGGTGGCGAAGGAGGGTGCAGAAGGCCCGGGTTCGAATCCTTGCCCAGGCACAGAAACACATTAGGAGGTGGTAACAGGAACCTTGAGCTTCCCCTATTTTGTGTCCTGCGCAAATTCTGTCGGGGTCGCCACGAATTGCAATTTCTTTCTCCTTTCTGCTGCCGAGGCTCCTGATGGGAGCTAGGGTTTCTGAGCTCCTCTCCTCCATCACCCCCAAGAAACCAAATGTAAGTTTCCAGTCCTCAAGTATCTGGATTTAAACAGGCTTGCTCTTTTTTTCTTTTTCTTTTTTTGAGGTGGCCTTCATGTGTGTGTGGCCATTGCGGTTCTTCCTTTTTTTTTTTAAACCTGCTCCTGTGTCAAGGTCACCCTGAGTTATAAAACCGCTGGGTTTTATAGCTTGTTGTTAACGTGCTGTCAAGTCAGATCCGGCTTCTGGTGAGCCTATGAACTGCCAGCCTGTCTTGTCCTCAGCCACCCTGCTCTGCTCTTGCAGACTCAAAAGTCGTGGCTTCCTTGAGGGAGCCGGTCCATCTCACATTCGGCCTTCCTCTTTTCCTGCTGCCTTCCATCTTCTCTAGTATTTTCGTCTTTTCCGGGGAAATCCTGCTTTCTCACGATGGGCCCAAAGTAGGAACAGCCTCAGGTTCCCTATTTCTGCCTCCAGGGATCGTTCAGGCTTGATTTGAACTAGAAGCCCCCCATCCCCCCCGTGTCCGTCTTTCTGGCAGTTCTGAAATATATTTGGTGTCTCTCCAATATTTGAAAAGGCAACGATAAAGCGGCCCTGGATTCAGACTAAGAGTTATCCACCCATTTCACGACAGCACCACAAGCTGAAGATGATGCTGATGGATGAGACAGCCGGAGGCACAAAGTAACTAACTACTAACTAAGTACTGAGTAGTTAAGTAACTAAATACTGATGGACGAGACAGCTGGAGGCACAAAGTAACTAACTACTAAGTACTGAGTAGTTAAGTAACTAAATATAAGTGCTAACTATGTTAGTATTGCACAGTTGGTAACCATAATAGAACCCTGATGAACTTCCTTGGCCAAGAGAAGTCTATGCCGAGACAGTCTTATAACATGTCTACATGTATGTGTGTGGCTGGATATGTAGCTCAGGGGTTGAGGTGTCTGGTTGGGGGTTCGAATCCCTCACGGGGCCTCCTTGACAGCGGCTGGACTAGATGATCCTTAGGGGTCCCTTCCAGATCTGCCATTCTAAGATTCTTATTAAGGGGTCGGCTGGGTAGTTCCAGGGTTGAGGTCTCCGGCTGTGGAGCTGGAGGCTAGGAGTTCAAATCCCACACGGTGCCTCCCGGGAGACAAGAGCCAGCCTGGTTAGCCTTGGGGGCCAGCTTGCACCATCCCAGAAGAAGGGAAGGAGGGACCCCTTCTGAAGACTCTGTACCTACAAAACCTTGGAAAAGTCTGCCATCAGTCAGAGCTGACTTGAGAGCACATGATAATTACTTAATTAACAGCATCGTGTTCTCGCATCATGGAAGGACCACCCGGCCTTTTCTGATTTTCTTTTCTAAATGGTTGGATGTGAGCTGTGATGCTTTTGTGTCAACTGTTTGAACCAAAGTTACTCCAGTTTTCAGAAGCTTTCAGAGGTTTACTCCGGTTCGTAGGCACCTCTTGGACTTGACTTTATTGATTCCTTGATATATTGGTTTTTCCAGTTTAAAATCTCTCCCTCCCACCTTTCTCCCAGAGAGGGCCTGACGGCTGCTCCCATCATTAAAAAGGCAAGATTCAAAGGCAAAAAATAAGAGATGGAGAAATACTTTTTTTTTTAAAAAAGTGTTAGATTAAAAATGGCACATAAAATCAATATGAAAAGACATTTAAAACAACAGAGTGCAATCATCTATTTCAAACTCTTTCTCGGAGGAAAGGGACGCCAGCAGTCAGAATTGACCTGATGACATATCATCCTCATCATCAGCCTGATTATACAGTATATCTCTTTTTCCTTGGACGTTGGGCCCGGGGTCAAGGCACGTTGCCATAGCCCTGGGCCAAAGTGGCCTTTTTTCAAAACACAGCGCCGTCCCGTCTTCAAGGCCGCCTGAGACCCATGGGGGGGTTTGCATCCTTCTGATGGCCCAGGACAAAGTGGGAATTTGATCCGACCTTTCCCCTACCTGTGTGTGGGGGGTTCGGACTACAACACCCACCACCCTCACTGGGGATGATGGGCCTTGTCCTCCCGCCCATGATTCCCCAGGGCCCATGAGGTTTCCTAGAAATGTGAAAGTTCCTTCCACCCGTTTGGGCGCACCTATCCCTCCCCGAGGGTCGCTTTCGCGGCCCCGCACTACAAAGCCCATCGTCCCGCGGAGAAGAGCGTCGCAGGCTGAGAGACTGGCCGCCGCCAGAGGGCGCCCTATCGCCGCCGCCGCCGCCTGCCTCTGGCTCCGCTTCATCCGGAGTCACTCCGCTTCGCGGGCGGGATCGCATTCCGAATCGGATGGCCATCCCGGCTCCCGCCGCCTTTCCCCGGCCCCAGGGCTGCCTCAGTTTCCCCGAAAGGAGGAGGAGGAGCACGAAAGGGGAGGCTCCCCCGCAAACACACCCACCGACGCCGGCGAGGCGCGCAGGCAGGCGGATCCGATCCTGCGC